TGCAAAGAAAAGTGCAAGTGGTTTGCTGAACTTTGAGTGTACAGTAATCCAATGTATTCTGCCCTGTGGAGAGAAGACAAGCAGATGGGATTTGACAATGCTAAGGGAAGCTGTGCTGTGTGACCTTTTGCTCTCCTAGACTCTTTATCCTCAGAAATCATCCTTTAGAAACAACACAGTTTCTGTACTAGATCATACCTGTGCATGCCGCGTGACACACATTCTGGCCCTCTCACTACCCCAAATCTTTTCAAAAAGTAATCTTATGCAGCACTTTACCTACACTCATTATTTTTCTAACTGGATGACAGGGCTACGTGGCTGGGGGAAAATGAGCACTAGACAGTGCTACCTTAGACAAAGTATGTAATTCTTGTGTCAGCAGCTGAGCAGAGAAGGGCAAATTAAAATCCAAATGCATTTGATCATATTCAATCATGGAAGTAAATGAGACTTAGCAGAAGATCTCTTCAAAGAAGAGTCAATACAAATATGATGTCTGAAAAGACATGCCCATTTTCACTTCATTCCATGTTTAAATAAGTCTAGTACTTATGTTTGTTATGCATGATTTTTGTGAATCTGTGCAGTAAATATATTCTTTAATTTCCTTTTTAAATAGTGAAAAAAGAGATTGCTTGCTTGTTAGAACATTCATATAAAAATGAAAGGTAAGTCATCAATTTAATGAAATAATTCCTCACTTAATGTTACTGAATGTCTATCTCATCAGGGATATACAATTGCCTCATAGTGATTCTCCACCATCAGGTCAGAACTCAGCAGTTCAGTTTTCTGTTTCTTAAGAGCTTTTAAGCCACTTCAAAAAGTGGAGGTGAGTACTTCAATAGGTCAACTGTTTATTACAAAGCAAAAAATAAAAACTCTGATTTGAACATATGCCGAACAGTGGTGCATCTGTCATCCACTTTGCACCAAGAACAATAACAAAACACTATGTAAGATAAAGCTCCAGAAGTTTTTCAGGCCTCTGGAAAGGATATAAATTCTGTCTTTCTGCACCCTTCAATGCTGAGAAGGGCCACATGTATATATGTTTCCTGTATAACTTGCACTGTCCCTCCCCATCTTCCCATTTGGTCTAGTGAACCTTATTCAACCAAAAATTCTGCGATAAAAAGGAATTAAAGAAGTGGAGAAAAAAACGTATATAAAAAAGTCTGGTGGCATCTACACACTGATAGCCGCACAGATTCATTTCAATTCTTTTCCTAAGAACCCCAACTTTATCAGCAATACAGATTCTGCACATCAAAATAAACCTCTGGGCAAAATTACATAGAAAAGGTTGGAAGTAAAACAAGATATCAAGCCTGGAACAGGCTGCCCAGAGAGGCTGTGGATGCCCCGTCCCTAGCGGTGTTCAAGGCCAGATTGGATGGGGCCCTGGGCAGCCTGGTCTAGCATTAGGTGGGAAGGTTGGTGGCCCTGCATGTGGCAAGGGGGTTGGAGATTCATGATCCTTGAGGTCCCTTCCAACCCTGGCAATTCTGTGATTCTGTGATTTTGGAAGATCCAAATTCCAGAGCTCACAGGCTCAGTGACACCAACCAAAACCAAATTGATATTGACTGCCACAAAGGACATCTGAAAGCAGCATGGAGTTTAGCTTTTTTCTTTCACTCGTGCAACGACTGAAACCAATGGTGATGGTGTGAATAATGTGATTCCTACAGGAACCTCAAAAGGAAACTTGCATTCAGGCCCTCCACTAAGAAAAGCACAAGCAAATCTCAACCAGAGAGCCCCTCAGTCTGTTCTAAAGCATCAAGGATGGAGAATACAAGGAAGTCTTTTACTCTCCTCTCTCTCAAGTAACAATTCAATTGCCAGTTCATCCAAAACTCCCAGCCACTGCACCCCAGTAGATTGTTCTTTAGACAGAACCCTCCTCAACTGCTGCAGCTGAACTTCCTCAGCCTACCAAGTAGGAAATCTTTTTTTACAAGCCTCTTATCTCCTAATTATGTAGGGCTGAAAAAAATAGCTGTTGTGCTCATTAATCCTAGAACGACTATCAAATGATATATATATATCTTCTCACACTACTAAAATAGAAATAACTAGATTTCATCAGTTGAATCCCACTCTACACAATTTTACAGGAAACGAACCTGAAGTACAGAAGCTTCTACACTTTCATGAAATATTCACATTTAGTGCTATAAAGATTATAAGAGAACCTGGTTCAGCATTAATAATTAATGTCAGAGCTCATAATGCCTTGGGCCAGAAAGAGGTACCCACCTGTGGATGACATCTCTAGAACTGGACAAATCCTACTCCATTAATTGCAACATGAATACAAGCAAACTGCTTATGAAGTGAGCTTTTTTTTTTTTTCAACTAAGCACAACAGTGGTAAAAAGCACTGTATGAATGACTATAAAGAATTTCCACTCTAGTTTAAGTATGTATAATTAGTTTACCTTTCCTATTTATTTTAGGAACCCACTCATTCCATGGCCTTCAAAGGCAGCTCAAAGAGAATAAAAATAACCAGTAGAATTCTTGGCTTAACTAATATATCCAATTAGCATTCCCAGTAAATGCTTTTTCCCCCCTATACACTTAGCCAGGAAGTAACTAGGATAACTAGATTTATTCAAAAGTAGGATTTATGTCTTCCATTTCTATCTGTGAATATATGAAATAATATATGGAATTTATTACAGTTTCTAAACTGCAAATGTCAGATTTCACAAGACTTGAAAGTTCTAATATTGTATGTTTAATATTTTACATTCATGTACCTGACAAACATAAGCCTACCTGTGTAACTAAAAAACACCTGAAGTTTGCATTGAGAGAAATGTTAAAGTGGCAAACTGTGTTAAGATATCTCACATCAGTTGTACCTTTTATTTTAACTATAAATGTCACACTTCATCATGCAGCTGTCAGCTTCTTTTTATGTATTAAATGCTATCATGTAAGCACAGAACTTGACATGATGTAACACAACAATTAAAATAAAAAACAATTCAGCTTTGACACCATGTCACTTTTCCATTTGCTGCAAATTAAACGGAAAGGAAAATCAAAAGCACAAAAGTAAAAGCTATTAAAAACGTTTGCAAAGAAAGACAACAGCAGTTACTATTTCCCTCTAATGTCAGATTTTTCTGTTTAGCTAAAAAAAGCATCTACAACTTCAGTTCAGCTAATTACAAATTGACACCAAAAGACATCTGGAAAAATGTCAGAAGTCTAAAACTTCTAGAAAGATTCTGCTGTAATACATTTCTGTCATTTCTGAAAAAGCTGACATCCACTGATCTATGCAACTTTTTTCTTTCTACAGTATCCTATTTTAATTGATATCCATTCCGTGTTACTGCTGTGGCATATTAAAAGAGTTGATTCTTTTCAAACTAGATGCAATAATGTTCAAGTTATGCCTGGAGCAACCTCATAGTAATAAAGGAGAAATGATGAATTCTAGATAATTAATACTGAAATAATCATGTATTACAAATTTGATTTCCATTTAATGTTTTTTGTCACGCAACACAAAATAAAAGTGCCTGAACATTCCAGAAACTAACTACAGTAGAAAACTGTCTATATTTGGAAAAGTAAACTGTTAATAATTAGACTTTCCCCTTCTTAGTGTTTCTCTGTACATTTACATCAACTCAAATACCGTATTTAATATATCAACAACAGAAAAAACTTCAGCCCACGGGAAAGTTAGTGGCATCTGTCACAAACATATAAATGTCACATGCCTAATGTTTGCTCAGGTCATACCATGACACAAGCAAAATCTCTTTGGCCCAGGGACAAAATGATGAGAGTGGAACCAGTTTGCAGGCGGGAAGGAATGAGTCAAGCAGAAAAAGGCTTGAGGTCTGCCTTGGGAAGGGAAGGGTTGATGCAGAGGTTCGAAACAAAATCCCTGCAAAAGCTCTCTCTTAAAACATTGAATTAACACAAATACCTTTTTCCCTTTTGTGGAAATGAGAGGAAAGAGGAACATGGGAAATCCTGGAAAGTTTTACCCTCAGATACCACATAACTTCAGAACTGTTTTCTGATGACCAATTTTGATGCATTCCTAAGAATTTCCTGGCCAAAAGCTTACTAAAGAAAGATTAAGAACATTATCATTTGGAGATTTATCTAAGAGCTCTACTGCATTTTTAAGTGTGCTTTATTGGATTGAATATGACAGCAAATTGTAGGAAAAGCAAGAAATGAGAAAGCAAGGATAAAAACAAGCTCAAGAAGACACATGAGCAAAAACATACAAGTGAAGTAATACAAAATAATTTTAGACCTGTCCTTACAGATGTTTCCCAATCAACCAACTCCACAAGTAGTTCAGACAGCAGTGAAGTTGCTAGGAATTTCATCTTTGAAGACCACTCCTTAATAAAAATCTGAAAAAATGGTAACACTGACACATGTGTATTTCTAAGAAATTATACTGCGTTATACCTGAGTAATATTTATGCTGAATGGTTTAAAAAATAAGAACTAAGTAGTTATTTCTGGAGTACTATATTCCATTGCATGAAGCCCTGGAAAGTGGTCTTAAAGGTGAAGAAAGAGACATGATCATCCTTCAGGATGATAAAATCTTTAAATTATCTGTTCTCTACTCTCAAGTTTTTTTAGGCCATAAAATGTTTAATTATCACAGATACTTGTTTACCTACAAGGAAAAGAGAGAAGAACTTGCTCTTGTGGGCATGAACATAAGAAAGTTTATGCAACGCATCAGCCATATTTAATCCCTTAAAACTCTTTACCATTATGATATGGGACCATGTCCAAAGGAGCCTTCACATTGCAGGCTTTGCTAGACAATGACATCACTGATTTGAACACCTAGGATCTGAGATGTGATCTAAGATCTAAAGTTCAAAAAGAAAGATGACTTATTTTTTTAATATACTTAGACTGTTATTAAACATTATATTATAAGCAGTACAGTCTGAGAATTGAGCTTCATGCTGAAAAATGCACAGTACCTGCACTTCTTAAATTAGGGTCAAGGTCTGGCATTTCTTTGGATGCTTCTGGACTCACGCTGTAGATAGATGCTCCTGCTTCACTGACAATGCTGGAATATAAAATGATAAACAATCAAACATGCAGCTGAGAACAACACATCTACTGTTTACCTAATTTAACATCTTAATGTTCTTTTTTTTTTTTTAAAAGCTTTAAAATTTTTTCAATGAACTGAATACCTATAAAAGTAAGAAAGTGCAAAGGAAAATATCTTTAAGCCAAAACACCCATCCTTAACCCACAACATTCGGTATTTTTCAGTTCTGTATTATAAATATCAATCTCTGTAATACTTGCATAACATAAAAAAATGCATATAGGAAACAAGTGTTACGAGAAGACAGCAGACAAACAGGCTTCCAGACACAAAACACGCAAACAAAAACCCACCTGATAATTTCATTAAAAACACCTAGGATGGGAAGTTTAATACCTGTTCATCGTATGTGTAAACCCAAGCCATGTGCGTGCACACCGTGTCTAATGCTAACTGCCTGACATGCTCAGGACAAAGCCTCACCTTTGCACAGACCGAGCTGCTGAACTGCAGATTGCTCCTCAGTGAGCATATAATTCCGTCTTCTCCCCACTCTCACTGTCATCCCAAAGTTAAATTGCAGACGGAATGTCTTCAGCAACCTCAGTTACAGTCTGTATATCTGCAGCACACCTCAAGCTCGTTCAGGACTGATAAACTCAGCGATTCAAATCGCAGCATGCAATTAAAAAACCCTGGAGTGCTCAGTTCCACTCAAGAGAAAACTGCACTCAAATATTCACAGTCTAAGTTTATTTGCAGCAGGGAAATTTTGACACCACTGAATAAACAGCATATTTCTTCACATAACTTCAACAGAACTCGAATTTCACGTTGATAATTAAAACATGGTACAACTTCTACACTGAAAGAGTTACTACCAGTTTCAGAACTGCTTTTACTTTTATTATTTCACCCATTATAATAGACTTATCATTGCCGTAAGGAGGGAAACCTCAACCCTTAAGCAGCTGACCTTTCAATAAATTCAAAGCTTTGCTTTATAGTGTTTTTATTTAAACGAGGGTATAAATTTTTCTTTAAAGAACTTTTAGTACAACAAATGTAGGAATAAAAAAACTGAAACTTAGAAACCCCCTCCTTAGAAAAAGCTGGAGAATAGAACGAAGATAGGACACATTCCCATCAGTGTTACAAGCATGTTAAACTTTAAATAATCTAAAATGCACAGATAAAAATGGTATACATTTCTTATGGTTATTGCATACTGGAATGCTGTATTATTTGCTATTCAATCTAGGCTGGATTTTTTGCTGACACGTCTGACTTCGTAGTTACTGGAATCTCAAAAACTATTCAATATGACAAACAGATTGGATCATTCAAAAACACAGAATAAAATCCCGTGCTCTTCGGCATTCTTGTAATTTCAGAACCTCTTGAACAACTGGTTTAACAGAGCAAAAAACTGCCTGGACACGATGGGCAGCAGGCTGGACACAGCAAATGCAACCAAGACTAAGAAGATTCAGCACTGGGAGCATAACTACAACATAAATGGCATTTAGAACACAGTCCTCCAACAGAAAGAACTGACAGCCACCAGCAAAACTAGTTGCAGAACACAGTCCGAGATCACAAAAACACGACTGCTGAAAAATGAAGATGTTGACAGAAGCCATAAACTGATTTTCCTGAGAAACTGGTAGTTTAAAGAACAACGCAACAGAATGTATTTCTTAACCTGTTCACACATTATAAAGGCAGCATCTGGCGAGTTCTCCCTTTCTTCATAAAAGAGAAATTGCTTCCAAAAACCCACACACATTAGCACATACTTCCAACAGCTTTAACTAACCTCTATTCAATCTTTTTATTCCAATAGGTCCAAAAGTTAACCTCTCAGGCAACTTCTAAATGTAGTGTCTTTTCTACTGGTACTGCATTCCAATAAAAATCGCTATTCACATTCATTATTTTCCACACTATTTTTAAATTATTATTAGCTAAGCAATGCTGTACTATAAACTGTATTACTGCACAGAACACTGCCTGATAGCCCTCAGTTACTTTGTCTGTTAACAAACATGAAAGATTTGGATGGGGACTTCAGGACACTTCACATTTTATTGATTCTCATTAATGCTGTGTAGACAATGTTCAGAAATGAGGAATGCGGTGATACTCAGATTCTGCAGTAGTAAAAGGAAATCACTGTGCCAAGTGTTAAAGTAGGTAGAACAAGAGCTCCTTACTACAATAAGTAAATAAAATTCAGTTCAGGATGAGAGAGAAAAAACAGTCGAAAAGAGCACATTTCCTTTTCTCAAGTGCAAGAAAACTTATTTGCGGGGCAAAGGGGTGGGGAGAAAGCCAAGTAAGGAAAAAAAATGAATCTCAAACAGGAAAACAACATACAAAAAACACATTCAGAAGAGGCATACACGGGATATTTGACAGCTACTCTGAGATGGCTTTGTATATGCACGCAGCTATTCCACAAACTATTCGGTAGAGCAGACTTGAAATAGAAGGGGGAACAGTCCTGCACTGCTGCCCAAGGACAGCGAAATCCAGATGTTAAATACATTGCAATCGTTACCCACAGTAAATGCATAGGGCCACAAATGCCAAAGAAACCATTCTCTGGGTCACGCAACTGTAGCAAAGCAAGATCCTACAGACATATTAGCGGTTGTTGAGAGGTTTTACTCACTGTTTTTAGCTACAGCGAGGTGGTTGCTAATGTGACACTGGCAGACACAGCGCTCGAGCATGGAGCTTCGCCACAATACAGGATTACAAGCAAAACAGGTTTGGGGATTCACGTTTGCAGTTTTCCTGGATTTTGTTTTTTTGACTGGATGGGAGTGCCACTTTGGTGCAGAAATAATCTGGGGGAGTGTTTCCATTCTTCTTTATTTAACAATTCATTGCTATCTAGGACAATTTTACAGTAATTTAATGTTGTAAAACGTTCTGCTTTCAAAGAACATGTTTTTTCAATGTCAGAGCAGTTTAAGTCAAAACCAAACCTTCTCAAATTAGTGGGCCATATAAATTTACTGTGCTCCACACAGTTCTTTACACACAAACTTTTTTTTTTCTTTTTTAAAGGATGCAATTTAACAAGAGCCAGAAGCACTCAGGACCTCAGTAAGAGTTATTAAAAATGGCACCTAAAATCTGCAGGTAAACATGTATCCAAAAATAAGCATATCTATATTTTTTTCTTCAAATTTTCAAGCCAAATAATCTAATGAAGAATTATCTCCCCTTTCCAAGGAAAATTAAAACATAAAAACAAGCCTAATTTCTGTACATTCCTTAGGGTGAAAATTCTTGTACTCAGTAAAATAACAGCAGTTAAAACAATATTAACAAAAGTTGTTTTGCTACTGAAAGTCATTGTGTAGTAGAAGAATAAGCAAGTGATCTTAACAGGCTATGCTCATAATGTACCAATAAGCAAGTTTCACATAGTGCTCTCTTTATTAAAAAAAAGAAAAAAAGAAAAAAGGTAGTCTCTTCCATCTATATGGCAATTCATTATTATTATTTTTAATAAGAAAAGCCCAAAAGAAAGCTGCTACACAATATTTCAATTTAGCCATGGTAAAATAGTTGTTAAATAGAAAATAAATGTTTGTACATCGCACTGGTCTCATTTATGTTCTATTTCAGATTATCACTAATGCAACAAAGTGTATTCCACTAGCACCACCTGGTGGTCCCTCAGCTTTATGCCAGAAACCACATTAGCTGTATTCCAAACGTTTTGTCTTCCAACATACTAGAACAAATAATCTTCTCACTGACCCTAAATAAGCATTATATAGCTGATATGAAGAACCATTCAAATTATACACATTTCTAATCTCTTAAATTTTTATTTTTATTTTTTTCAGGAGAACTCTTAAAAAGATCTAATAACTAAAAAAAATTCAAGGTATTAAATACTTACAAAAATGCATAATAATAAAGAATACATCTAACAAATATATTAAAAAGTTAAATCTTGCAATTCCATACACGTGTGTAACAGTACTTTTTAAATATTTTTTTTCAGTAATTTTTTCATGAAAACCTTATGAAAACTGAGTAAAAATCTAAGGTGCATGCAAGGAAATACATACACATATCCTTAAACACACACACACACACACACACACACACACACACCAGTCAGAGGTTTCTTGAGTTAAAGACACATACAGCTTCCTGACATTTTCATTAACTTTACTACCAGCATTTTGGACTATTGTATTAAATTGAAGTCAATTCCTTATGATCAAACGCAATGCCAGATTAATAACAAACAGAAAAGTAACTTTAAACAATTTTCAACAATCTCCAAAACCCTGATTTACAACTAAAAGCCTTTAAAATAACATTTCAAGAAATGGACGCATCACAAAGAAGTGACCAGCATTACTATTTGGAAGAATGTTGTGGTCAACCTAAAAGCAAAGGGTACACTAACCTCAAAATGGGTGAAGTTTTCTTGTTTGATTATAATAAGATTATCTGCACCAAAATACAACTGCCCTCACAATCAAAGTTTAATTATGACTGTGGTTAACTAACCTAACAAAACTTTAAACAAATTACTTAAGAAATCTATTCTTCATAAACCTGTGTCGACAAAACCAGAGGCTCTGCTTGAGGGTGGAAGGGATAAAAAATTACTGTGTTACTTCTTCAAATAACTGATTTAAGAATTATACAGGGCAGGAAGAAATACAATGATAAAAGGTCTGCTAGAAAAGAATACTACATTACATTTATACAGAAGTCCACCATGCAAACTCAGTCATAGAATCACAGAATGGCCTGGGTCGAAAAGGACCACAACAATCATCCAGTTTCAACCCCACTGCTATGCGCACGGTTGCAAACTACTAGACCAGGCTGACCAGAGATCCAGCCTGGCCTTGAATGCCGCTAAGCATGAAGTATTACAGTCTCAGAAGAGCTTACAGGGACTGCCAATCAACCAGCTCTGGGGAGGGGAATGACCAGTTTTAAAGAAGAGGTCCCACTAAGGAGCT